ATTATTTCTTTATACGGAGGTGATATAATGTTAAGGTAAGTCACAAATGGGAAGACAACGCATAATGTTCTTTAATTAGGGACATCTGACGTTTCGGACCAAGTTCGTTGCGTCTCAGAATACTGTTAACAAGATAAAGATTAAAGAACATTTTATGCGTTGGCTTTCTCGTTTGTGACTTTCAGGATGACCGATATTAACTGATTGTAGTTGACCATGGCGAAGAATATCTCTGTTTTCAGAAGATACAGTTTGTTGAATTTATAAGTACCCTGCCCATATTCAATTTTATTCGGCATGTTTCTCTTGCTAAACGTGCACGACATGCAATAATGATCCGATGCACTCGCAAGGCTTACTTCCTTTGGTTAACTGATGGTGTGGTTGATACCCTCTGTCGTTTTGTGAACGTAGAGTGAATAAAAATGCTTAAACTTTTGCCTGGTTTCAATACAGTTTAATAATCATCAGATGCAGTGCAGTTTCATTTAGGCTCAAACGTCAATCCAAATGTAGATTTTATTGATAATTTGCCATTAAATATTTTTTTTCTTTTATTTTTTCTTGTAGTCCTCTTGGACAGCCCTTAAAACATGGTTTATTCCCTTCATACGTAAGCCCGTTGCGTTATTTTCAATTATTTTTTTTAAATGTAGTTTCAAGTTTCGAATCATGCCTCTATACTCCGTTATTTCTTATTTTGCGCTCGCAGTGATTTTTTAGACGAACAACCCCCCCTCCGTCCCTCAATTTTCAGAATACCTGTGCAATGTACAAGGATCAAAACGGTAGTCGCTCAAAGAATCCTATTGTTTTATCGAAGCCACGGCTCTTGCTGCCATTGTTAAATTTGCACAGACCTACTCAGTCGAGTACCTGCAGTCGGTTGGTTAGGATTACTTCCTTCGCTATGCAGTAGTATATGCCTAAGGAAACATTACATGAAGCATTGTGGTTATGTGATTAAGTTTTATTTTGCAACAATAATAACACCGCTGATCATAACGCTGTCATGTGATACCCTCTCGGTTGTAGCTATATTGGCTGCTTCCATTGAACAGCATGGCTTTACATCTCATTAATTACAACATATTTATTCCGTAAAACGATGTTGTCTCACAAATCCATGAGCGGCTATCCGTTTCTCGGCAGTTTACTTCGTAGCGTAAACTTTTTGCTCGACATTTTGCTGTTAAGACAAAAGTATCCGTTTTACGGGGAATGTAACCCAGCACCTCATTCGATGTCTATGTTTTGGTCACTGTACCTTTGCGTCACAGAGGAGTAGAAGTGATTGCAGTATTTACGACCCATTGACGATCACCATTCAGTTAACATCAATACTAGTTTTGCTGTTCATCGGGAATGAAATTTTGAAAAAATTGAAATAATTCATTTTAAGTGTTTGATTTTGCGTAGCTATTTTTACCGTTAGTGTGTTTTGTAAAATCTAATATTTAGAACTTATAGAAAACGTCTACGTGTCGCCGAACCAAACGATTAGCAGCAGCGCGCCGGTGGCTTTGGTCACCGGCAGCCAGAAACCTTTCATTCCCTGTAAAGTATGCGGCGACAAAGCTTCCGGGTATCATTATGGAGTCACTTCTTGCGAGGGTTGCAAGGTGAGTTCAGTGAATGGATTGAGTGGATATGTTTCATGTTCTAATGAGAGAGTCCTGGTCTTTGCTGCCGCGTTTGGAGCAAATGGAGTAATGTAATTACTTGTTTATAAACTTAACACATTAAAGCAGACGAACCCACGTTTTGATGTGTTTATATGATGGCATAAATTTTGCTGCATTGTGAGGATGATGTTGCCCAAGGAACAAAGTTAGGTACTGGCATATGATGCTGCAGATGCTCAAGCATCACGGATCTGCGACCTTACCAGTGATTGGGAGCAATGTCTGTGAGTAGTGTAGTACATCGTGAAATAGGGGTTTTCTACGATGTATCTGCTTTTAAAAGCGCTCCAGTGCAATGCACAATGTTTTTGGTCGTATACCACAGTCATAGTATATTTAGTTCTATGTAGTAGAATTACTTTAATTAAATAACGCATATAGGAGACCAGTATTATGTTTGCTTATCGTAATCATATCAAATTCGTCTTTATGGTATATAATGGTAATGGTATTGATCATTTGACTACTCGTATCATGATAGTGATTCTTTATACGAAAAAGTGCAGCATACTGTGCTGCACGCATTTGCACCGTATGTCGATATTGTAGATAGCGGGACATATATTTAGCTTAGGTGCTGAAGTTGTTTCGGCGACCAGTGATTCTGTTGTTGCATACGTAACTTACGTAATCACTGTATATATATTTATGCTCTCTATGACTTGGTCACCCTATTTACTACTTTGCGGTATTGCTGGAATCGCCTTCCTCACAATTTATAATTTAATGCTATTAGACTGTCCATTGATGTCGTTATTGCATGTACAGAAGATGTCATAGTGCATTCCCACTATGTCAGAAAGTATAATCTGGATGTGCTCACGATAGCAGCGACAGATGACATCAAACATGGCGAGCCGGATTTTATTTTTGTTGTTAGTTTGTTACTAAGCAAGACGAAGTGTGTAAGCTGTAAACCTGCTGTCTTTCTAATTTGTTACAGTACCGATATACATGTCACTCTGTGTATATTAGAAAAATTCTTTAAGTGATGACTGAACATCAGATTTATTATGTGCATATTCTACTCGTGTTATGTTATATCATCCTCAATCCGACTTCAGGGGGAGACATGATCTGAAATACATAACGTTAGAGTACAGTGTTAATCAGTAAAATCAAGTAGCCACTTCACTATGGAAAGTTTGGCCTGTAGTTTTAAAGTTGTTCCATAATTTCGTTCCTGTGCGGACTCACTTTCATAGCGCATCTTTGTTCATTGGTTGGTTTACGAAGGCATCGTTTATCTTACGGCTCAGAAATTCCCTTTTCCTTTGATCCTCGCATAATGTGAAGTTTCGTTCTTGTGCAGTGTGCTCCATGGCTGCTGAGTTCTTTTCTCATATCTTCTTCACCACCCGCTGATCTCTCGTTCGTCTTCGCCCTTTCCATTTTTGTAGTAGTCCATTCTGACCTAGATATGTATATATCGCATGTGTATATTGTATATATGACATGAATAGCTTAAACGTAAGATTTTTTTTATACCGGAGTAGGTTAGTTCTCATAACAACTCAAAGACCACATTTGACGAAGTATTTCACTGTCTCAGTCCGCTCTATCTTCCTAGGGAGTTCGTTAGCTGGACACCTAGGAGCAGTTGATTGGTGCAGTACGTCATCAAATCTATTGTAGGAACTATGTGCCATTTAACATATTGCTACGTACAAAAATATTCTTATGCTTCTGCGATAGTGTACAACGCGTGACCGTGGTGAATAAATCGTCCCAAATGCATTTGGCACATTAAATGCTCAAAGACCATGGAGCTGCGGCCTTTTTAAATTGTCCCTTAATTATTTGGATTAAATGCTGGCGCGATATGCATGAAGTCTGGTCTTGGAGGAGCGCTGTCACCATTTGTCATATACAACTATACCTCTTTCTTCCAGTCCATTGTCATTCGACACTTGTTAGGTAGCATTAAGGTTGTCGTGTTTATAATTGTGATTTATCACCGATATATCATACTCGTAATGCCTTTTTACCATTCCAAAGCAGAAATATGTTTGGCAAATGTGTGTACTGGTATATTATATTTTTGCTGTTTGTTTAAGGTACAACTTAGCGAAAGTACTTGTCCATCGACTTAAAGCGGCAGATGATCCTCATTATAAAAGTGTTGTATAAAAATGATGGAATCGACTTCTTCGTGACAAGGGCATCAATGTCAGCGTCGTACTATCCTTTTGTTCATAAAACGAATCAACAATTAGCTTTTAATGGCAAATCTTCGTGCAGTCACCACTGTGAAACAGTTTCTTACTGGCGTTGCACTAGTAGTCAGCACCCATACGTGTTTGCGAATCAGTTATTTAGATTACAGATAAGTTATTGACATGCCATATTCCTCGCTTAGAAAGACGAGAATTTCAAGTGATGAGTGACTAATTCCGAGCTAAGTGATTGAACTTATTGAAAATGTCTTATTCTAGACTACTGAACGGAAAAACTGTGAGGACAGTCTATGTTAATTTCTGGAGAGACGATGATCACACGTAATGTCTTCTATCTGCGTAGATATAGATGCGTGGCTTTGGCTAATAAACGTCAATTACAACGATCTCTCCTCAGAATAGAAATCAACAACGCTTTCGGCTTCACGCATAAAATTGACTGTTAAAGCATCTGTCCTTATGTGAAAAAACTTCAGATTCACCACCTGCAAAAATTTCCAACAAATTTCTCGCACTACTAACATTTGGAAAGGAAAGCGGTAATAACGAAACTGCAGCATCATGTCCGCAGTCACTCCTCCGCATTTACACTAGTATCAGACGATGACGATAATGGGATTCGAGATCTGTGGGTCATATGGCAACGTTCGTGTTTTGGAAATCTTCAGATGGAAATACAGCGATTATTGTTAGGGGTTTGAAACGGAAATCATATTCTGCAGGAAGCGACCGCAGTTCCAACAGTACGAACCATCAGATCACAAACCCGGATGGAAACATGACAGCGACGACCGGTACAAGTATTTGCTGTTGCCGTCCCGTAGGCTACTAATAATTGCAAGGGGACTAATTCATGTGAATCCGATCGGTGGATTGTTATTCATACAGGCGGTATCAAAAACCAGCAGTTTTCTGGTAAACTCATATTACCGTAGTTTGATTGTACAGTATATATGCCTACTGATCGAAGTACAGCTGTTGATGTTCGAACATATGTTGTTCGACCGGCTGGTGACGTGACGCTGTTTGGCGCCCATGCATTACAGATGCTAAAATACGATACAACCGTGGCTTGTCTGCTTGAACGATTCCCTAGGCTATTTTTGGGAGCAAAGGGACGGTGCGACTACTCCGTGTGAATCAGGCAAAGTGGCTAAAGATATGCTGCTACTCGTTCGTCTATACCGTTTTCCTTTAAAAATTTGGTTGTTATCTACAGCGACAGATCTGTTCGAGGTTTTGCCTTTCAGTAAAGTTTTAGACGTTGTTTGTGCCTGCGGCTATTGGATTGAAAAAATTTTTTGAACACAGTTCAGATGCTTCGACAGTCGATTCTGTGGGTGACGTCGAACGTGCCATTCGTTTGCGATACAAGGAAACATGGTTTTATTCGACGTTCATTAGCGAACGCCGCAGTTTTCGTCTGTCCATGAAAGCTTTTGCGTATGTTGAAAATGCGTTTAATTTGCAGATGTGGTTTTCTTAATTGTATGCAAGAAAGCATGTTGCATATAAATCAACGTTCTTGTGCTCATTTGCATAAAGTTTTTTTTATTAACATGTTAGCTTGTCTGTCTTGTGAGTTTCGAGGAACTGTCGATAGGATTCTCTACCAGCTCGTAGCATCGTGAGAATGAGCCATTAAGATTCTTAAAACTGCAGTGGGTGATTTGTGTCACCTAAGAACGGCTGATCGGAAAGATTTGATGACGTGGTCTGTGGTTCACTCCGCTAGGTCTTTGCTGATTCGAATTGTCAACATAATTTTTCGCCGTAAGACTACAGTAAAAATAGTGTACTAATTTACAGAATGAGCATGATGAACTGGTGTGACGTTAGTAAAGGCTGCGGTTTACTTTTGAAAGCTTAACATTTTTTCTTTGCTATTGATTCCGTCATTTGGTTCAGCTTCACTGTCATGGCTCATTGTTGCCCCATTGTATGTTGAATAGGCGATAGGCCGTTGTTGCCTAACGGGGGACGAAGATTTCGTGACCATAGTCGCGGTCACTTTGCCGAACAGCAACGGGGTAATGAGTTGCACTTGACCCACCTGTGGATCTTCGGTCGCCTGGCGGTATTATTTATGCGCGCCTGTGGCGAAGGTCACTCGCCTCGCCCTGGCCGTTCTCCGCCTGTGGTGGCGACTGGCACCACCGAAAAAGGAAGCGACGTGAAGTGCGACGAAATCGTTCCATGACACATCAAACCGATTTAGTTCACTGCACCTGGCAGTGACATGCTTTCGTTGATCGTCGCCTTTGACACTCACAACCGAAAGGTCAGTGTGATTCGCGCGCGGCCCAACGAACGCGGCATTTCAAAGAAATCGACGTTCTTCCTCATTTGTCCCCCGAAGAAGATTCCTTTGCTTCGTTTCCCAGCCCCCATCGTTCCCAGCGATGGAATCCGTTAATTGCTGATGATTGCCTGACACGTAACAGCGTGGTGAAAGTTGTTGGGTCATTGTTCCGGAACGTTTCACCAATAATACGCATAACCGCATGACTAGGGGTCAATTCTGACAGGCGAATTTCCCTGGACCGATGTGCCGGATGCAGCTATCTTTTACGATTAATCATTCTTCGAATCTATGACATTCACCCTTCTCAACGTACTCTTCTGAATGCTACTCTTGCTGCTTCCCTCTTTAGACACGTTCCCTCAGGACAGCTGCTGAATGTTTGTCTACTTAGCGTTCATCTGTAGTACTGTTACTTGATGCAGTAATTATGCAGAGTACCAGATAGTTAATTCGAGGTTAAAAAAATTGAATCGTCTCAGATTAAAATACAAATACGAAGTGCTGTAAGCATTAATTACTCTATAAAGCATGATGTTAAATGCTGTTAGAGTAGATTAATTTTCAAAGTCGACACGACTGTTTTTTAATACTAAATAAAAACTCTCTTAACTTCCTTATTGTTTTCATTTATATACCTAACACATCAGAAAATAGGAAATTAGTCAGAAAATTAAAATAACCTATTTTTAAATATTGACTATATGTCTTCATCTTCATCTTCCATCGCCGCTTCTCCTTTCGGGTCGCGGAGGCAGACACGTCAGACACTGCTTCGAGCGTTCCCGATCCTGTGCCAGAGTCTGGGCTTCGGCAAAAGACAAATGCAGTCTGGAACAGATACAGATTCCTTCCATATGTTTGCACCAGGTTAATTTTGGCCGTCCCCTGGGCCTTTTGCCGGTCGGATTT